AAAAATTATATCTATTTCTGCATAGGTAGTGTCAGTTGCGCTTATTTCAGACGCCAAGCAGCCTGCTTTGTACGTTGATTTGATTGTATTATTAAGCAATGAAATTTCAGGCTTATTTACTTTTTGTTTTAGATACATAGAAATCACCTTCGTCTCCTTGTCTAATCTGCAATTCTATACTGAGTCATTACCAAACACATGCAATTAGTAACAGCTGTCTGTCTGGATCGCACTCTCTGTATTGAAATAATAATTCTTCGACGCTGTCAGAAAGGTATCTAAAATTAGGTTAGTTGTCAGGTTGCCGAAGTCCAATCAAAATCCGATGGCCTCCGATTGGCACATTTAGTTACTTCAACGCCCATTTCCAAGGGCAACCTGACGATTAACCGACAGTATGTTAGCAGCCTTAAAGATGAATGTAATGTCTGCAAATTATTTTGGAAAGTATCATTTGTTTTTTGAGTTTCGAACTGAAAACCTCAAAGAAGTAGGATATAACGAAGCTGAGAGATCATGTTGTAATTGCGAAAATTAATATACATAGAGTAAAAGCCTACAATCTTTATTACCACAACGTAAATAATCACTTAAATATGCGAATATTTAATTATCTAAAGCGTACACGTAACATTTAAAAGAAAAACAGTTCGAGCTATTACTACAATATTAACTAATATGTATAATTAGCTTTATTAAGTAATTATATTATGAAAATTAAGAACTATTTATGAACGGTTTCAAATATTTGAAAGCAAGGAAGTAATGAAGTACAGAAACTTTCCAGTCTCATATTGCATCTGTATTATAGTTACCTAAGTGAAAGGCGACAGCGATTAATACATTTATCTTTGCAGGAACATCATAAATATATTATCGTTTTTGCATGATCATTCTTGTTGGGATCTATTTGTTTAATTTTGAAACCCATTTTGTTTGCTAATAATTTTTCTACTGTACTAGTACATACTTGATAGAGTGGTCGTGGTTTCCAAGGTGGTATCATTGGATTCTCTTCATTGTCCTTTTTGGAGATAGAATTTCCGACAATTTGTCTCCATATAGTACGGTTTTTGGCTATATAAGAACATTTCACAATGAACTGATATGAAAATTTACTTCGTATTTTTGTGTTTATCCGTTGCAAACAAATAAAAATTCGAGTAGACCATTCCATTATCATCCGTATAAATAAACAAAAAATCACTATTAAATAGTTGTGACCTCGTCAATCGTTTACTAATATTATTTAAATTAAAGAAGTATTAATTGCATGCTTAAATCAGTTTCTTTATCGAGTAGACAGACAGACACACTGAATTAATAAATTATCAACTAAATCTACTTTGTACTTAGACAAACTTTAGAATTGAACATTTTTTTTTTGTTATATTAATAACCTAAATAATGGCCAAAATATTTTAGTTAACAGTAGAACTGGTTTGTCCGTCTCTATTTTTAGAAGATATTACTCAATATTTTGGTGTTTAATATTATAGTTTGGTAGTCACTATTTCTGTTTCTGTCATGATTTTCAGCGCGTGCTGGGATAGTGAGAAATTCAACAATTATTTAAGAAAATTATGTTTAATTATCGCTACTCGTCTGTAACTTATACCAATTGAGCAAATGATAATAATCAACTGCATTAGTGATTGCTATGAAATTTCTCTCACGACTTCCACGGCGTACTCCCACGACCCAGCTGTCTGGCTGTCTGTCTGCACGACAATGTTACACTGATTTTTTACTATACATAATGCAGTTCGATTCACATCCTGATTCTTTATATGGTTATTCAATTCTTTATCTCCCACTTTTCATTCATATCTTGAGTAAATAAAACTGTAATTAAGTAAAAAATATTATGTAATCATTTATAATAACAACAGTACCAAGCAAAGGAGAGCCTATGTTATGGGTACTAGACTATCTCATTGATATACTTAGATATTTTTTTTAAATACATGCAAACAATAAGACTTATGTTCGGAACGGGCGAGGAATTAAACCCACGATCATCAGAAGTAAGGCAGTGCGCTAAACCGCTAGACCACTGAGGCCGTTGGTAGTGTAGTGTTTTAACTACCTGACACATTTCGTTAGTCCCTCGTTCGATGTCTGAACAATACAAACATTAGTATTCATGAGCATGTTTGATTTTTTATGTATACTTATGAACTACTCATAAAAATGGTTAAGTATGTTTATTGTACTAATAAAATAAAATCTGCTTAGTTTGGGATCATCATCATGAGCAGCATCAATTCAAACCTCCATAGTAGGGGGTGAGCCTACCGCGGTCACTTGGATTAATTTGATTTTTTATCACAGTTTCCATCACTGGAGAATTAGGTAAAAATATATATTCACACATTGTTTTCATGTCGCACAGATACTCTCTTCTCACCTTTGAGCGTAAGTCGATAAGTTTCACAAACCACCACTTATACAAAGGCCATTAAATAACATTGAAAACAAACAGAAGAACATTATAACCCACATTACAGGTTCTTGACTCGATTTACAAGATTCCATTTGGCATAAAAGAAATGAGCATATACCTACCACACAAGTTGTTGACCTTGCAACACGAAGCTTAACTCTTGCGCAATTACTTTAAGGATGTGCATATTAAGTTAGTCTTTAATTTTTTTCTTAAAGACGAGGTCATGGTCTCTTTCAACAATCACCTGTAGACACCCCTACTTTTAAAATACATCATTAAAACGGGCATTAAAATTACAACGGCCTGAGCCGAGGTTCGAATGCCTAGAGGTGCCGTCAGGCACGAGTTGGCTTTTAGCCGCTCCGTAAGTCTTTCCGCGGATTGGAGTGCCATCTGCACCAGACCCCTACTGTCTGATAACGCTGTAAAGGCCAGCAGCATTAGAGTTTAAGAGAGAGACAAAAAAGTTTTTTTATATAACTGGAATAGTAAAACATCTGACGGCCAACTTGATGGTAACCATCACCTATATACTTGACCAGTACTACGATCCTCACGTCATAATGTAAAACCCGTAATACCTCTTATGTGTTGTCATTCTGGAGGACTAAAATGTCATGCCTGTTATCCTGTAACTTAACCGCTTTATTTCACGCTTCAAATCGAGTGTATCATTATTATGTATTATAGTAGGTATATATTTATATTTATGTATGTATATTTGTAATTATTTTTAAGAAGTGCCCACGCAAATTGTACTTTTTAAAAGCTTTTTAAAAATAAGCAAAGGCTACCTAGGTAAATCTTCTAAAAAATGTATTTTAGGTTTCCACACTAATGAACTTTCATTTGAGCTATTTTTATTGGAAAGAATACGACAATCTCTCATATATTTAAAGTTATTTTAGGTATTCGTTTTTATGAGAAGAGACTTAATCTACGACTCTTAGTCTAGTGCTGTCTGCTTTGATGTTAACGATATGAAACTAAATCTATTATTAGTAAGATTCCTGATTCATAAGATTATTTCCATATGCAAGTAATTCACAAAACAATTTTAAAAAGCATTAATTACTCCTGTACTACATTTATAATTACATTTGTTTCGGTAATCATGACGAAATCTGTCAGTACCTAAAAACTTCTAGTCACCTTAAATTATGAAATAGTACGGCATTCATTTATTAAAATTTAGAACTTCCCGTTTTAAAAATAGACTAAAAGCTTTTACTTTAACCTACGTATCGACGTCAAAGATACAGACTCATCGTAAAATGAGTAATGCAAACTTGTCACACTTTGTACGTCTTTTCAACGCTTCTCTTCCGTGTATTGCGGACTGAGCAATATGTGTTTAACAAAATCCGTTAAGCAAATAGGCATGTTCAAACATTGCATTGTTTTGGCCATTATATGTTATGTCAGTGTTATATTCTCGGTGTTGTGATTGCGCAGTGAAAGCGCTTCCGACTTGCGCAAGAGACTACATACACATGGACATTTGACTTGTGACATTGAAAAATGAACATGAGTCATTTGTGCAGATTTGTTGCATAGTTTTAGAAATAGTGTTACCACAGTTGCTTCTGATAATGTAGCTTGGTTAGTGTAATAGTCGACCAGTCTCTACGCGCACAACGTTCTAAATGTGAGACCGAGTGCGTAAAATGACCATTTTATTTTTCAACTTTTAATTAAGAATAGAATAGAATATTAAATTTCAAATTAACTTAAATTTAAGCACTTTTGAAGCCGCTCATTCGGAAAACTATCTCATCAAAAGATGAACGAGAATAAAACTTGCATGTTGCTCTTTTAAATAATTGTTGTTTCTGAATATAATTTCTGATATAATTTTTCATTTCACAATAAACTAAAGTAAATTTGAATCAAAATATAGGTATGTACCCAAAGTAAATACGGCACTAAAATCAATAAATATTTTCGAGTCTACTCACATATTCGAAAAATGAAGTCGAACTGCGAACCTTTTAGAAGTTGATTTTGTATCTCTATACGAAATCAACTAACTTCTAAAAGGTATTTGAACCTTCTATTCAAAACTAATATGTATGTATCTTATCAGGACAATAAGTCTAATAAGTTGGAGCACGAAAGTGTCGCTATTGATGATTGGGCACGGAGCACGATATTTTGCGAACGTGTTCACCGTGATGCTGAATAAATGAGTTGACAATTAATAACGAGTTTTAGATGATAAACGGATACTTATGAGGCAGCTGTGAACCGTACTGGTATTTTGTAGTCTCACGAACCAAATCATTGAAAAAGGATCTTACAAAATGCACTATAGCGCAATACAACTCATGATTTTTTATGAACTAGGTATTTTATGTATGTATTTACAAAACAACTGTATTTAAGTATTCATATTAGTCGTCTAGTACATATAACACAAGCGCTAATTAAATTGGAAGTAGGTAGCCCTGTGTGGATTCTCCTGTGTTATTATTATTATTTCAATACATATAAAAAAAATAAAAGTTCCAAATTCAATAACATCTATTTCAAAATCAATTTTTCTTTTCAGTTCTGCTAGCAACGGTAGCTATCACAAGCTGCGCACAAATAGAAGACCCATGCAAAACAAAGTCACGCGTGGTGGCGGACGATAAATACTGTGACAAATACTGGGAGTGTGACAATGGACAGTCGATCCAGTACGACTGCCCCAACGGGCTGGTGTTCGCTGGAAAGCATAGAGGTGTGACTGAGGGCTGCGATTATCCGTGGCGGTCGAACTACTGTGAATATCCTAAAGTGCAAATCAGTGAGTATAATGATTATTTTTATCTTTAAAAATGTTATATAAATAAAATTAAATGAAATGACATTTTTTTGAAGTAGCAGTAGATGCTTAGAAACACGACACTCACAATTAAACACACACACACAAACAACAACACAAAGTAAAACAAAAATAAAACAAAAAAGAAGAAATATTTTGTACCATAATGTTTATAGTACATAAAAAAGTTACGTGTGTGTCAAATCGTTCACCGAATAGGTAGGTATGTGGATTATATTTTTTCTACATGCCAAATAAACCTTGTTCTTGAATCACTCTCTATATTCCTAAAAACTGCATTAAAGTACGTTGCGTAGTTTAAAAATACTATGCGAAAAGACAGCGGAAGCGATTTCATCATATACTATATAAAGATAACTTATCCAACATCTTCCCGTAGATCCACCAATTGGCACGGAGCACTGCGATTGGCTGTACGGCATCTTCGGGCACGAGACCTCATGCACCAGGTACTGGACTTGTTGGAACGGCACCGCCACCGAGCAGCTCTGCATCGGTGGTCTGCTGTACAACGAGAACGCACACTCCTGTGATTGGCCGGAGAACGTGGACGGCTGTCAGAAACATCGTAAGTGTATATAATAAAAAGTACAATAGTATAATTAGATGTTGTATTGTATTGAAATGAGTGTGTTAAAAATATTATATATATAGATGCGTATTTAACAAAGCCGGCTCTATTGCGCTCTCGTTTTCGGCTCAGGATAAAATTCCGCCTCGTATATTATAACCACCATAACGCACATATAGTATGTCGTAATCTAAATAATATTATAAACGCGAATGTTTGTGAGTATGGATGTTTGTTACTCTTTCACACAAAACGGATTTTGATGAAACTTTACAGCAATATAGCGCAATATGCCTCAAAATAACATATAGGCTAAATTTTTTTATTGAAATTTAACGCGTGTGAAACCGCGGGCACAGATAGTATACTATAAAAATTTGGCACACACAGAAATATGGATAAACCTGCATGGTTTTTGCATAATAATCAAAGTGGAACCACAGATAACAAACAATGTTTAGAATAAAGAAGTTTCGAAATATTTTCGAAAATTTAATCCCACCGCACCACCGCGCTTTGCTCTTCGCTCTGTAGTAAAACAAAGTAGTTATTATATTTTCATAATTAATGGCACTTATCACAATGTAGACGCTGTTCATTAATATCTGACTGTCATAAAAAACCCATTACGCACCTAAGCATAGCTACTTCTAATTCATACACGTACGACAATGCAATTTTTTTATTAACAATCCATTATACATTATTCAACTTTCATTCTCATTAACAGATTCAATAAGGCGTATAATTGCACGGTCGGTACGGCCCTCGATTAACGATTATATAACTTGATTGATCGTGATCTGATGTTCTGTTAATCGCTAAATCATTGAAAGATTCAGTTAAAATCGTTAAACATCGCACTAAACTTAATCGATAGATTAGATATTTGGCGGCCTACTTTTGAGTTTGTCGGGCATGGGTCATTAATTCTTCGCAATGTTATAACTCGTTTTAGAAACTCGATATCCATAATTACTGTAATACGGCGTGAATGTTAGACAGTATGTATGTACAGCTTGCATAATACCTTTAATGAGGTTTGGAGAAAAGGTCAGGCAACTAGAACAATTGTAGACGCATTAAGACAATGACAAGAATAATACCCTTTTCTATATAATAGGAGTGGCAAACAAACTGACGACTCACCTATAGGTACCTAAACAGTAATGGTCATCTATATACACGAACAGCTCTAAGGCTATCACGTTATCCTGTGATAACGTGATGTCTGCAGCCCACTCATGCATAAACGAAATATCTTTAGAAAGCATATACTCTAGACGGAGTGAGGAGATAAAACCATCGCTGCTAAGAATATCCTTTCTTGTCTGGGTGACTGGTAGGTAGGTAGCGACCTTTAAAAAAGGGCGAGCACAATAGATCTATGTAGGTCGCAGTGCTACAGGTCTAAGCACCTGACAATAGCCCAAAACCCTCAATAAAATAATATCCTATGATTCATGCATTCAAAGAACTAAGATATCATACCACTCGTCCTTTAATACCACTCAGTAATCTCACCCTAAAAACAAAACCAAGCCACAGCTTACAAAGCAAACTGCTTAGCGGTTGAAATACAGGATACTGAGGTATTCACGCAAACGTTTTTTTGCAGTATACCTCGATAAAAATTTCCAATGTGGTAAATATATAAATAATACTAAATGCTAATAAATACTAAAAAAAACTTGTTTGTATACATATACACACAAAATCACAAGATTCGCATTTTTTTATAATATTGATTATATTTCCATATCTATAGTATTCAGCTCTATGTTGCCTACTAACATGAAACATGTTATTAGCTAAATGTTCCCGCTAATAAAAGTAGCCTAAGTTACTACCTACATCAGCTACCTAGCAAAAAAAGTCCCGTCAAAATCGGTCCAACCATTTCAGAGATTAGCCGGAACAAAGAGACTGACAAAAATGGTAAAAAATGTTATTTTGGTTACATAAAAATGTTATTTTGTACCGTATTTCTATTCATATGCATGTAGTAAAAAACGGTTATGTCCATATTAGAAACAGACACTCCAATTTTATTTATATGTATAGATATACATACTTATAGATATACTTTAAGTTTAATAAATTGTTTTCAGTTACATGTTTCAAATTTTGAGAATGTAAATTGATTAAAAACTAATACTACATAGGTACATAAGTAATACTTAATACTTATGGCCTTCAAAAAACAATTAAACTGAGTTACAAATTCGACTCTTCTAATCCGTAATCGATAACTAACTTTGTTTATAATCTATTCGGTGTTATAAAACTTGGAGTGTTCTCATGGTTTCTAAATAATTGTTTAACCTTTTCAAAGGCCGTAACATGTTACACTGAATTCAATTTAAATATCAGACACGATTGATATTTCATCGTCGTATAAAAGACGCAAATTAAATAATAAGATAAAATAATAATACATATCATCGAATAATTTTAAAATATGTCTCGAATTTGATATTCTTTCTTTTATTAATAATAATAATCTCAGGACAATTCACACAGCGCCATCTTGTCCCAAGTTACGCTAGCTAAAGCTTGTGTTATGGGTACTAGAAAACTGATGCAAATACAATTTTTTTTTATCTTACATATATATTATACATAAGGACTTTTTTATGTATAATATATATGTACGATAAAAATATTTGCAAAGCGATACAAACAATCATAGTCAGGAATACAAAGGTTTGTGTCATGCGAGGAATCGAACCTTGGACCATTGGAAGTAATGCTATATGCAAAACCGCTAGACCACCGAAAATGTGCATTTTTAATACTTAATTAAATGGAGAGTACTGAATTTTATATTCCTTTTTTATTAATAGTATACAATATAGTAACATATAATAAACTTATTGTAACACCTAAAATATGCATTTTTAAGTGATTAATTAAATGGAAAGTATGAACAAAGGTCCAAAATATGGGCTAAATGCGGAAAATAGAGCCTGACATACAATAATGAATGGAGAGTAATTTATTATTCAAATGCATACCGATTCCCTATTATTAAATTCCTGACCATAAGTAGGGATCCATCTTTTTTTATAAATCACATGAAAACTTTAAGCTATACTTTACCCAATAATAAATTTATCATTATTAAAATAACATTACCTTAAAAAAATATCTGTCTATTCGTGCTAATCTCCGAAATGACTGGACCGATTTTGACGGGTTTTTACTTCCAGATATCGAATGTTACAAGGAGTAACTGAATTTTAGATAATTTATTTATTTTAATTCCACGCGGACGTAATAGGTAGTCATAATTTCATTGGATCGCAAGAAATAGAAACAAAGCGGATATCGTTTTATTTTGATAGGATAATAAAGATCCAATGTAATATTTTATTGCCTCCGCCTTTGTATCTGGGAAGTCGTAATGGTATATAATGAACCGGAATACTTCCCTTTTCAATTTCTTTGAAACTCAATAAAATTACCATTTTCTGTTCGTTGTTCTCGTGGTTTTAAAGATTAATATTATATAATTCAAGTTATGTAAATGTGAAGGATTAATTCGAATAATATTCGAGAAATAGATTAAATTATATATATACAAAAATATTTTAATAAATTATAAAACAAACTGTTATCCCTTATGGTAATCACGCTTGACATGCCCACAATTTGCTATATATTATATTAATTTGCGCGCGAGCTTATTGCAGTCTCTCAAATTAGTTTTTGGTTTGAATTTATATTTTTGACGAGTCAGTCAAAAATATAAATTGACACGAAAAGTTTCCTTTTTTTTATGGTGTCGGCTAGAATGCAACTATCGACCTCTTGGACTTAATTCAGGGTAGTAAACCAATACGTCACGACGTTCTCTAGTGTTATTTCATTTTTAATCACATATTTAGAAATGTTAACTTATATTCTGAGCAATTTATTAAATTAAATATTATTTATTTTATTTTAAATATTATTTATTATTATTTATTTAGAATTAATTATTACCATTCATGTTATATTAAGATAAATGTTCAAACAGTGTTTTCGTGGTTGAGCACACCACCTTAATTCATGGTCTCAGGTTCGATTCCTCGCGTAGTATAAACATTTATATTCACGAGTACGATTGTTTGTATTAGTCTGGATGTTTCCTATGTATTTAAGTATTTATATCAGTTGTCCAGTACCCATTACACAAGCTCTACTTAGCTTTGAATTAGTTGGCCCTTATGGAATTGCCCTTAGATTATTATTTCTTTATTTATTTAATTCTTCAGGGTCCTAATTGCCTTACTTACTTAATTATTATTGTTAAAGTAATTTTTTAATATATAATAACAAATTCAACAACAATATAATTTTACGTTAATTCCAGCCCTCTGCAATGAAGACCCTAACGGCAATGTACCTCTCGGCAAATCATGCAACCGGTACTGGCAGTGCCAAGGCGGGTACCCTCGTCTGCAGCGGTGTCCAGCCATGCTGGTGTTCGACAGGCGATCCCTGCGGTGCGTGGTGCCCCCCACTGAAGACTGCGACGTGCCGACCACGACTGCCCCACCACCAGAAGAGGAGCCCCAGGATCAAAGACCTGTAAGTAATCATTTGTAAATTAACCCTGCATACTCGTTTACTCCCAATATTTTCCATTTTTTTCAAAAATATGGGTATCCGTATAGCTAATACGGAATATTTTTCCATATTTTGTCTACTTTATTTAAGACAAAGGGTAGTCAATGTCCATACTGTTGATACAATCTCACGTAAAATTTTATAAAGATCCATTCAGCCGTTTAGTTTTACGTAATATGTTATCTGTGGTTTTACTGACAAGCAGACTCAGACTCATAAAATTTATAATTTCAGCTTTTAGATATGACCACAAGAAATTTCATAAAAGTTTCGTAGTTTTTTTATATGTATATTTATTTAGAAGTGACCATTAGAGGTATCTAAGTACTATAAGTGTACTTAGGCACTTACAATTGAAAGATACAATCGTGAAACAACTGCACTATTTAAAACTCAGGAGAACACACAAAGGAGGACTTTTTTTACGTATTGAGTTACATTAATGAAACTATTTTTTTGTAGTAATAAACATAATCATGTTAAATATGGAAAAAAATATTTTACTTTCTTCAGTGATAATGTAGCATTTAAATGGTGAAGGAATTATTAAAATCGGTTTAGCAGTTGTTGTTTTACAAACGTACAAATCTCTTCTTATAATATTAGCGTAATAGCAAAGCATATAGCGTTGAATGGTGCTCATATAGACCAAGCAACCAATCAATATTTAATATTCCTTATATAGACATATGGCTGCATGAGCGTATCTCAATACCTACGCCAGATTTATATCTATTGTAATATTCCGATTCGATTATGAGAGAGATGAGAGTTTTATGACATCTATAAATCGAATGGATCTTTGATATTCGATACGTTATGAAGATATCAATGGTATTTTGTACAGAACGATTTCATACAGATCTAGATCACCGCATAGCGATACGTGTTATATTTAATTATACTTTATACTATAATAAAAATAAGAACAAATTGTGGTACAAAATTAAGTGGTTAAAATTCTGAAAATACATTAAAACATATAGTAATACTAGTGCCACCCGAAATAGATAGATTTATACAGTACTCCAGGTTTGACAATATATGTGTGGGTAAATATGTAATTTGCAACAAATAATTTACTCATACAATATATAGTGTTAAGATTGCGCAGGATTATGTATAACTAGTCACCCTACTCGTTTTCACGCCGTTGCAAATGTTATAGAATTGTCTATTTAAAAAAATAGCCCATTTTACTCGCAGAGGATACTTGTCGATAAGTAAATAAATTTCAAATCTGTAAATTATCTTTAAATTTGATCAAAGACAAAATCGGATCTTTCTATTAATGTTCCATTAATGTATAAAACTATTTTTGTATATAATATTAAACTGAATATTTATAAAATCGTTTGTAATGACTGACGATTAAAGCACTGCCAAATCATAGGAAGTAGATTTGGCAGTTTGATAAACTGAACATGAAACACAGCTTTAAAGCCTGTTTCATGAAAAACATACGATTTTTTATAACTTCAACAAAATTCAACTTATCGACACCACTCGTGCAAAACTGCTGTTAACTCTTAATAAAGTATAGAAAAGATACTAAGATTATTACGTATAATACTCATGACGTCTACTGAACTATAATATTATATACTTTATATTTATAGGTATACATACCACAGTATTTCCGACCAGGAATCGCCTCCGTTTATCCAAAGGCCAATCGCGTATGTTAAACAATCGTACATATTCTATCTATCTATTGTAGATTTCAACCTACTACTGTATTTGTTAACTATTCAGCTTCTATATAGGTTTGTCTGTGAAATATAATTCATTCTCCTTCCCACAGTTCCTCGTATTTATATAAATTCGGCTTCCATTAGCAAATAGTATATTTCATCTTAATTGTACACGGCACTCTACGTAGAGTAATATTTCAAATTGGTATAATGTATACTTATTTAATGGCACACTACACCTATTTCACTATTCCAACATACAAATTATTTAAAAAGAAAGAGTTCTAAGATTATATTTTTTTGTACTGAATATGATAGATGAATGGACTGTGTGAAAGATGATATGGTAAGAAAGGAAGTAAATAAGGCGATGACTGCGAACATACCGACCCCAAATAAATGGGATAAGGAAGAAGCAGATGATGATGATAGAATGACTCACACTCATGGTGATAGTATACTGGCATAAATGCGCCAAGTATTCTACTAGATTACTAAACATTTAGAAAGACTAGACTTCTTAATAATTTTTTTCACACAAATTTACTTATATTATACCTACCTACTAATCTATTTTAATTCTACATGTTTACAAATTAGTGACTTTTCATCCATGAAACATGCTGCCTATATATCTGTATGAATTTATTTAATTTGCTAAAAAAATTATGCATGATTCTAATCTCAGATAAATAATCTATCAGAAAAACAAACGGGCTATAAGATTTATAGAAATGATAAATAATAATTTTTATTACAGATCCCACAATCGAAGCGGCCAATACCAAATGAATACCAAGACGTGCAGCAGGGACGACCCAGACCAAGGAACTAGACTTCTACCTTCTCGAACCTTCCAGACGTTTCCATTACTTCACTCTTTTTAAGCCTTGAAACTTTTCTCCCTAACTCTCTCCCACCATTGACTCTTTATTTCTTCTAAAAGGTCCTAGAGATGGTGTTAGTATAGACTCGTCGTTACAATCTTGATCTTCTAGATACTTCTAGATTTCCTTTGTTATATCTAGAAATCCTTCTTTGGAATTCTTCTTTTAAAGAGAATATATACGGCTAGCCTGTACTGAACATCATCAGGGACTCGTAAGTGTAGAAGTATTTATACTTCATTAAGTTTATTGTTGTAATTTAGTCATGTAATTATACTTATTACTAAACAGTAAGTAATTATAGAGGTTTTGAACAAAGAATACTCATAAAGATGGATAATGTAACTACATCTACCATACATGATCTAATATCTGACCCGAATTGAGATTTGTTTTACAATTTTATATTTAATGCACTGGCAACATTAGTTATACTTACTTGAATTATGTGTATGCAAAAGAGACAAAATAATGTTAATTTTATTATTGTCCAAGGCATACAACTTTTTATGGCTATGGAAAGAAAGTGCTTTTCAACAATGTTACAATATAAAAAACAAACTATGATGCTACTTTACTAAACTCAATCGCAGTCGCATACATACATATCACATACAATCGCGAGATCGCAGACAATAGCCAACAACCGCAGTCAAGCGAAGCTTAGCCAGTTGATTTTCTCTCTGACTTACTACAGTTGACATAAACTTCAAACGCTTCTGAAGATTTTAAAGCTACATATTGACTTTAAACAAAAATATATCAGGACAAGCAAGACTGTATAACTTCATCAGTCATATATAGTATTATGATTCTATAGTATGATTCTGTCGTGCTACGTGTTATGAATTTAAACTAGTTTACGGTTACAATACAATATTATGACAGCTTACAAACTCAATTTCGGGCGCCGTCTCCGCCTTCAATTTGTCAAATCGTAAAATTATTGAAGCCTAAACATCCAATTTTCTCTGTAAGCATATACTAACTTCTACCCAAAATATGAAAGTTTATTTTGTAAGGTTATACAATTATTATAAGTAGTAAATAAAAAAGTTAAAGATTATATTGTGTTTTCATTTCAGTATTATTTAACTTTATTTATATTTCTTAATATTTCAGAGTTTGATGGGCATGTATCTACTTATTTTTATATCGTCATCAAATCTTACTGAAATTATAAAGGCGAAAGTTTGTGAATATGGATCGATAAACTATAGAACGGATTTTATTCAACTTTACAGTAATATAGCTTATACATCAAAATAACACAAATGCCATAAATTTAACGCAGGTGAAACCGCGAGCACCGATAGTATTTTATAACTCCTTACATATTAAGTGTTCAAAATCTACCCTGTATCATCGTAAGCACAGATATTATATTATATTAGTCCGTTAGTTTTCTGTTCCTGCGCGTTCCCTTCCCCTCCCTAACTAGTAACAAACGGACTGTACAGCGGCCTTGACGCGCGCGCGCATTTGTTGTGAATTAAAATAAATTTGAACTGTGAAACCTACTGTGAACCTACTGTGAAACTGGAAAGCTAGCGAAGATACCTTCGAGACCCTGAAGCCCAAGAAATCCGCAGAACCATACAGGTACGTGACAGACATAGTAAATTCCCTAACATTTTGGTAGCAGAGTAGTTTCCCAAACATTAAGTCTTCAGTACTCTGTTAAATACTACAGTTTGAAAGTAATCAAACTTTCTATCTACGATATTATTAAATACCTATATGTGTAAATATTTACCTCCTTTATTGTATTTAAAGATATTCATGTTTTATAGAAACATTCTTCCAAAAACATACCATTTAGATTCTTTACGAAACAGTAACAATTACGAGTAACCTTAGAAACACAATTTGGTCCTTTCATTTCAACTGGTCTTCGGTAGGAACACAGACTAAAGAAAATAGAATGTACTTTAGGAACTGAAAGTAACATATATACATAAAACGAAGTATTTTACACCTATTATTTACAGATGTTAAATGTTTCAATTACTTACTCTCTTACCTGTTTTTGTTTGTCTGTTACTTTTTATGATACTTTTTTCTAAATCACGTAAAGGATATTAATACTATTTTCACTATCAATTCATAATTTCTTCCGGAATGTTCATATGCATTGTATAATTTATGCTCATTATAGCCAAGAAAAACTGACAATATTAAGGATTTGTAATGAAGTAATAAGAGTAACATTTGATTATATTTAATTAAAAATAGATGTTCACAATAATTTTATTCACAAACCAGAAAAATCATGTACTTACATACATTCAAAAGAAACAAATATGTACCTAAAAGGTCGGGTATTTTAGTTAAAAGGCTACTTATACATTAAGATTTTTTTAAATACACGATAATAGTGTACCAGCTAGCACTGACTACATACACTGACGAGGCATCAGTGGAGGGTCATAAGAATCCCCAGAATTTTTATTTTTTTTAGAGGATGATAATGGAATGGTGCTCCCGGCGAACGGTTTACGCTGTTGGGGCACCAGTGGAGGGATCATGAAGTCATACAGTTAGCCCATCGTGACAAATTCACCAGAAATTTATCACGATGGTTTCCAGGGGGAACCGCGTGGAGGTCGACCTGACATGGTACATTGCTAGCAATGGGATCATTAGTCCACATTACTAACAATCCCCGTCCTCCCCTCCCCAGAAATTAAACACGATGGGTTCCAGATGGGACTGCTTACATTATTAGTAATTAGCAATACAATGTATCTACCTGAGCTATTTTTATCACGATAAGTATTCCCCTACCTCCTAGAATTAATATAGGCACTGACTTTCAATTATAAAGTTAGGCATCTTTTTAGCTGTTACATGTTACCGATTATTCGATACACCAGTGCTAATCAGGGTAAAAGCTATTTAAAAAACTAAGTGACAGTCTGCATGTATTAATCTTTGCCTAACAGTAACATTACCTTTGTTCTACGTCTGCGAAACTCAATACTTTAATGTTTCAGAAATTACGGTCCGCAGCCAGCCATAATAACGCAACGCAATCTTTTATTTCAGTTGTTAATGATTGTGCGTTTATTTTGTAATAAATATAAGCAAATTATAATATAAAATAATTAAAAGCGTACGTTGTGGTCTAGTCGTTATTATTTTTTTTTTGTATAAAGTCTCAACAGAACTCACACAGCGCCAATTAGTCCGAAGGTAAGCAGAGCTTGTGTTATGGGTATCTACTAGACATCTGATATAAATATATACATACGTTTTTTATGAATAGATAATATACGTAGAACAATAATACTCATGAATACAAATGTTCCTACGAGGAATCGAACCCGCGACCATCGGAGGTAAGGTGATGTACTAAACCGCTAGGCCACCGAGGCCGTCGATACAAGTATGTCTAAAAATAACATTTATTAATGTTTCAATCAATTTTCCCCATTAGACCACCCGTACAGCCGGGTTCACGAAGTCTCTTGAGAATTATCGTGTTTCAATTTTATACCACTTATGAGTATTTCGGTAAAATGCTCGTGTTTTGTTCCGCTTCATTCCAATATCTTTATCGGAGGCAGAACTCTGGGGATTTGAAGTTTTCGTTATTAATCAATTATATTAAGAAAACATATTGTCACATTATAGCTAACCTGAAAATATAATAGATACGGGCACTTTAATAAAATTCTTTCATAAATATAATAAAAAAAAATTATGCAATAATTATTACAGATTTTTACAGTTGTACCAACCTTATTTAATTGTCTTACAAAAATAATTGTATGTAAGAAAATTTAATAACAAATACGTAAATAAAGCAACTTTTTTTCATACGGTTTTATTAGTGTTTTATAAAACTAAACAGTAATGTAATGATTATATATATAACATTCAGTATGTACTTATATAAACTCATAAAGAAAAAAAATAATATCATTGAACAAGGATTAGAAATAGTAAATAAACACTAGTAGGCAACACATTCCTAAATTAGGTTTTGTCACCGCTTATTTTGTCTCAATTCCGTCCTACAATAAGACCTTTAACTAAAAAAGATGGGAAATAAAGTAGGAGCCCGGGAATCAAGCAGAATTTAATACGACGTTCCCAGATAGAGGGGAAATTTAATTTGGAGCAAAGTGCTCGAATAATATCTATATATAAAGGTATATGTGTAGGCAGTATTGCCAGGTGTCCCAGTTTGCGAGACGTCCCAATATTCAGACAAGGACGGTTATTATGGGACATTAAAATTGACGATCGTGTTCAATTTACCGCCATTTATAATAGGCAATAAACATATAAGACGCAAACTTAAATGGTACCCTTATAGGTAAGTAATTGTACAATGATTTAGTAATCATACCAAAATATCTTTGTTCATATAGATTTATTACAGACTATTGTATATTATGTATTTACGAAAAGAAAAATATATGTATGTATTTGTATCAGTTGTCTAGTACCCATAACACAAGTTTTAGATATCTTAACTTGGGTCTAGATGTCGCTGTATGAATTGTCCTGAGATCATTATTAAGTAGTAATGATAAGTTGATATTGTCAGTTCTGAATTTAGTTCGAACCGAGTCTAATGTACACTTACATAGCTATAATAAAGAAAATAAGTAGGTACTTAAATTATACTATATTTAGAGATAATCTATATTAATAATTCCGTCAAGGGATACGGTAGACTCGAACGAAACCTTATGTGAATAACAAAATATAAAAAAATATTGATTTCGAGTCGACAACATACATCCGCAAAATTCGGATTATGGAGTATTTCGTTAAATTCTAATGACACTGACAAACAAACCGTAGTCGCCATCTTTTTATTTCACTAGCATTTTCTTCGGTCGTTGACGTTTCGCGAAAATATTGATTTGACACTTTTTTATGATAAAAGAGTATGTGTGTGTTTTTTCTTTAAACCTGAAATTGGCCGATTGCGATACAAATTTGTCAATTTTTTTTTATTAATTTGTTTTACGGCTCTGGATAGAAGTTCTTTTTAGCCCAACTTAAAGTTTTACAAAAAAATAAAAATTATTTGTATAAAATCTTTTGCACTTTTTATTTACTATATTTATTAAACACAATGAACGAAGCTTTACAAATCTATGCCTTGCTTACTTTTAATATTCCATGAGAACCGATGACTACAGAAATATCTACCCACATTTCACCCGAGCGAAGCCGGGTTTTCATCTAGTAATTTTATAATTTTTTTTTTGTACTGATTGATCGCTTCCGCTGTAGTTAAAAAATGACAATACGTCCTTAGAAACTTTCATCTCTCCTTTTAACCCCTTAAAACCCTGTTTTCGCAACAAAAAGTAAATAAAAGTCCCATAATGTCCCAATGTGAAATGTTGCCAACTCTATACGTGATGTGAGATCGTGAAATGTGAAACAGTTTCACTTAATTCTGTCACGAGTTCTAATCAAGCTTCTTAATAAGATTACACGAAATTTGTTTAAGAAGGAAGAAAACGTACCTCTCTGTGAGTACATATAGTTGGTAATTACAAATAAATGAGTCGTCTAAGAGTATGTACGCATTATCGTTATGTCTATAATTTGAAACTTTATTCAGCAAAAAATAAATCAGTCATTACCAATTTAATATATGTATATATTACAATAGAATATAGACAATAGAAGTCCGATGGTCGTGGGTTCGACGCACGGCGTATTCATGAGTATGATTGTTTGTATCGGTCTGGGTGGTCTCTATGAATAATATGTATGTATTTACGAAAAAAAAAAAAAAACTATGTATTTGTATCAGTTGTCTACACCACAAGCTTTACGTCCGATGGTGTGAATGGGAGATTATTATTATTATTAATAGTAAATAATCAATAGATTCCAACAACTTGCTCCACTTTGACAGTCTCGGTGGTTTAGCACAAACATTTGTATTCGATTCCTCGACATTAGAAACTTGTTTGTATCAAATGCGAGAATCGATTTGTATTTTTTTTGTATGTATAATATACATTGTGTATATATATATGTAAAAAAAGTATAGCAGCAGTTGTCCAATGTTATCTTCCATGGATATTATTATTATTTCTAGATAGATACTATTTATTACAGAAAAGATATAAAATCAAGATGACAACACAGTATTAACAAATTTAGCTTTTTAGTTTATCTATATTAGTATTATTGTTAGGAACCTCCAGATTGATAACATCATTAATTCCTGTGAATTCAGCCATATGTGAATATATACTTTCATCCTTCCCTAGTCCTCTGTCAACCTTCAAAAAAGTATAATAACAGTTTATTCGTCATTGATTATTATTATCATCTAATAGTATAATGTGACAGCAATTGAACTATTATCACTACAAAAGAAGATCAAACGGCGCATTCCTGTTAGCCCTACAGAAAACTACCTCATAACCGTTTTTTTTTCTAACTACTCTAATGCAGCTGGCCTTTACAGTTTCACCGATTGATACGGGGCGAGCGCAGACTCCACACCCGCAGAAGGAGTTATGGAACACTGTATGACGGATATGACTTTAGTCTAAGGGCACCACTAGGGGTTCAACGGAAGGCTCAGGCCATTGTAATTTCAATCTCCGTTTAAATTGGACGAATGATCAATAGGAGAGGCTTATACCCGGTGAAGTGAGTAGTAAACTTATTTACTCTATGAAAAAAGGTCAAATATTGTTTGTTATCAAAGAAAGCCTAATAACATCGCCCGGTACGCTCCGTGGAAGAGCAAAAAGTGTCTCCATTTAACGAGCTTCTCTCAAGTTCCCGGCATAAAAAGGCAACCGGTACAAATTATCCGGCCATCCTCCCGTTAATGAAATGCTATAACTCAACGTAACCGAGTCGTTTTAATTTGAGCAAAAAGTTTTACTTAGTTGTACTTATATTTTTGGCAATCATTTGAGGTATATATTTCCTCTTTTTCAATTATCATGTTGTTTGTCAAATAGTTTAAGCAAAAGTTGTATTACTAATATGCAACTGTGTATTAGATGATGTACCTATAAATACTTTTTTTGTAATAATAAATAGTATACTTTTGTTACCTGTACCTCGCAAATAATGAAGCTAAATGTGAATTTTAATTTAACATATTCTTCATGACTACATCCCGAAAGCATTACCGTCTATTGACACTGTGATGTGAAATTTACATTTTTTTTACAATCATGAGGTTAAATTTCCTAAATGTCGCAATTTTCGTCTTACCCTTTCATCCCTCTCTGATACTCCGCCATGGGGGTAAGAACCCCATTCCATAGTCCTTATCCTAACTAATATTATATACCTACATGAAAGTGAGTTTGTTTGCCTGTTACGTTATTTTTTATACCACTTACACGGACAAAGTCACAAGTATAAGATAGTCATTATTAAAAAACCTGTAACGTTACCTACTGACGTATAATAATAACAAACGAGATTACCATTTCATCATCGTCTATATAAAAAGTCATCCAAACTCTTTTCATAAACATAAATCTTATCAAAACTTTTTAAGCTGTATACTTATTATATTAGAATTTTATATAACTCTATTAAATATAAAATACAGATTCCTCATTTCTTTGGAAAACATTAATTTCCAGAATAGCAGAGAGAATATCTTGTGTCCGATTTGGAAGCTAATCTATATTGGAAAATGCAAAAGTTTGCTCGTACCAAAGATTGAATTTCAAAAGAAAGCATCGCACGAATAATCGACGTAAAAATTTCTTATCAAAACCAGTTCTTTGGATATTATGTTCCAATATTATATGCATTAAGATTCAGTTTCCACTGTATATTGAATGTTTGATGGACGTAAAACATAGACAAGAAAAAGTGATAAATGACAACATTTGCATACTGAATAAACTCGTCAGAGTTTCATACCAACAATGGCGACGCATTTCCAGCTGTTATTTAGATGATAATTTCCCGTTGTGTAAGTATACCTAATGATTAATGTATATTACTTATTCAGAATATAAATTTTACTAAGTTGCTATAAATTTAGTAAGTATTTAAAACACATCAATGTCTAACAGTTGTCTGTAATACAAGCTCTGCTTAGTTTGTGACTAGATGGCGCTGTACAGAATTTAGTTTTGTAATGGTAAGTATATGGTAAGTGATCGCAAATATACTCGGAGAAAAAATAAAGTAGGTATATGCTGGTGGGTAGATATTCGCTTGCGAGTGGACGAAGACGAGATGGGACAAGGATGAAGTCAGATCATCCATCGCGTTATCTAAATCTGACATGAATCATTGCTAGCAATATGGCTACTGTCTATACTCCATTATTAAAATCTGGACAATAAAAAATTGTGTTTCCCCAGAACTGTACATGAAGACACTGTATTACTGCAAAACACAAGATTAACATAAAATAAAAGTATTTTAAGTTGTTATGTACAGAATATTAAAACTTTTTCATAAATTGTTTATCAACTTTATTACTATTCAATTATTAGTATTTTAAACATAAAAAGTAAACAGAAACAGAAAATTTTGTACTAAATCTAAAATTGGTCAATTTTAGACACAGTAATGCAAATAATCTACCTAATCCAGTTACAATAAGTATTACATTATTAAATTTATTTTTGCCAACACCGAGAATAAATAATAATCACGATCATTTAAACGTATCCGAATTAAATAACTATTATACTACGAAACAAAAAATAATTAATTAAACATTATATTAAATTATATTAATAATCTATTTATTAGTACTGATTATTTTATCTACCTACCTTCCGTATAAACTGTGGTCGTGGAGTTTTTGTTTGACGTCTGACTGACAGTGTGACTGACACTTAGAACCGGTAAAAAAAATGATCAGCACTTAACTTTCTTTACTTTAATTTATTTATTATTCGTCGGAATATTCAATTTAGATCAGTCAGTTCTTGATAATAGTATTCATTAATTCAAACTCCTTGTGAATAATTATAATAATTACATGAAATTAGTGATTCTGTAAGTTCTTTGACGTTTGTTTGATGTTTATACTTTATACACCTACTTTATTTTATCGGTCTTCGTCAATTCAATCTTATCAACAAATAAAGTTTTATATATAAATTATAATACATAGCAAAATTGTATGATGTTTAGTTGGAGATACACGCTTCGTGCAGCCGAAAATAAATATAACAGTATTGTAAATAATATAAAAAACAGCCAATTAAGACATCAGATTAGACAAGGTTCAACAATGAGTGAAAAATTTAAATTACCTGCGCGATATGGTGCTGGAGATAAAAGTGTTTGGTGAGCGCTTATTAATTTTCTTACATAATGTAATGTACGTATAGTAATTAATTATTTTATGTACAAATATATCATACCCAGTAACAGCGTTGTCATTAGGTTATAAGGCATATTATAGCCGTTTTTAATACTGAAAACTGCCGCTTCTTCATTATTTATATTTGTTACTAAACTCCACCTAAGGCTTCCTCTGAATCAAATTATTTTACGGAACATATTATTTTAATATTGTACATTCTATATAATAATATCCATTATTCTTAATGTACAAGAAATATATGCTTTTATATGAGTTGATCTGATGAATATTCATGTTGCTTAAATAATTTGTTACCACCTAACCCTTTTAGGTGGTTGTTGGTCCCCCACCTTCCATTGTTCCATTGTACCTACTTCTTGGTTATAATTTCTGTTAATTGTTTCGTATCCATAATAAAATACCTCCTTACAAGCTGGCCTTGTGATGTCCAAGATCAATTACTTTATTTCTTATTTTATACTAATTAATTGTCATAATAGAAATAGTTATGAACAGAAAATTGTTTAAATAGATATAAAACTAATCGTTATCCAAATAAACTTAATATAAACACTTTTGATTAATTATATTTTTTATTCTTCCACACATTCTGAATTTATTTTATACTAATTAATAGACATAATCAAAATAGTTATTAAAAGAAAATTGTTTAAATAAAAATAATGGTTATTCAACTAAACTCAATATAAACATTTTTAATAATAATATTTTTTTATTCTATCACTCATTCAGAATGCAGACTCATCACAAGTCCAACAAACAATAAACTTGCTCTTTTAAATAAATGTTGTTATGACACAATTCAATATTATTATTAAATCTGCCAGGGTGGAGTATATAGAACTAGCTTCAACATACAAACCACCTGTGAACCTCGGCCAGGGCTTCCCAGATTACCATGCACCAGAACATGTTACAAAAGCCCTCGCTGCAATCACCACTGGTGATAATCCATTACTCAATCAGTACACAAGAGGTTTTGTAAGTATCATTTTATCTCTATGTTATTTCTATTATTTATCCTTATAGGCATTAAGACTTTTATGAAATAGGCTGAATAAACGGAGGCCTATATTGACTAATTTTATTTATTTATATGCTAATATTACTGATATACATTAGGTAGGCTTTTGTATAAAGTCATATACATGGTTTTCTCATCCATTTTACTCTTTCTTTCTTTGGTACTGTTAAAAAAATATGCATACCATCAAAATCATGTTTGTATAAGAAATACCATATGCATATGTAATTTTTTTACTAATAAAGTAATTTTTTTACTTAATGGATTTAAATTACTTTATTTAATTCCGCTACCATTTAAAAACATGACCTACTCTACTGGAAGCGTTATGACCTCCTCTATAAGGTACAAATTCTGACTGTTATTGGATCTACACAAATATGGTTATCACAATATCTATTTTAATTGCAAGCTTACTTTGTAATATGTTTCAGTTTAAAATTACAAAGTATGGAGTAAGATACCTTAGTCATCCAGAATTAGTGTCACAAGCATGCTATTGATGGCAATATATCCATAGTTGATGTACATGTGATGCTTACCACTTGCCAATAAATTGGTTTATTTCCCATTCCAGATGAAATTGTTATTCCCTAGTATGTGGTACATTAATAATTATTACATTCTGGCTAATAAGACCAATGTTTTATATGTTGTTAAATTGATTTAATACAATATTATTTTTTCAGGGCCATCCAAGACTTGTACAGAACTTAGCGAAATTATACTCACCATTGATAGGAAGAGAAATAGATCCATTAAATGAAATATTGGTCAGCAGTGGAGCATACGAAGCTTTATTCTGTGCTATTTTAGGTAATTGCATATTATAATACAATTTGATTAGAATAAGAATTTTCCAATGAGGGAAATGATTGATGTTGGCGGTATGCGGCCAATTGTAAAAGCTAAATTAACAATTATTGTTGACAAAATGTGCCAATATTGCCAAGCTGAAGAGGAACGCCACTACACATCCTATGTGGTAGTAGCTATAAACGAAATATCTCATTTGAAAAATTTACACATAATCCTGGCAAGATAAAAACCATTGCTCCTAAGAATATCCTTCAATTGTCCCTGATAGCTCTAGGTAGAGAACTCGGAAAAAGAGCGAGCACAATAGATCTAGGCAGGTCGCAGTGCTACAGGTCTAAGCAACAGACAATAGGCCGAACCCCTCAATAAAAAAAGTAATATTAAAAAGAAAATCTTACGCTGATCCATAATTATAAACAGAATAATGGCAGTAAGGTGATACTGATTAATATTAATGAAAATGTCCGTTTTAGTATGATACTCGTTTATTACTCAATGGTAGAGTAGAACACATGAATGTGTTTTGTTGGAAATAAATGCATTACATTCTTAATGTAAAAAGAGGTTTTACAAACACATCAGATTAACACTACTCGTCACAAGAACGAATAAGAAACTTAGGTGTTGTTAATGTATAAATAATTATTTTAAATTATTATTTCAGGTCATGTGGACCATGGTGATGAAGTGATTGTAATTGAACCATTCTTTGACTGCTACGACTACATGATAAAATTCGCTGGTGGCATCCCTAAATTCATTGCTTTGCAACCCGTAAGTACTAAACTTCTCTCTAAACTCTAATTGGTTAGTATCTGCTTCTATATTTATTAATAATATTAATATTCCTGGATAATTATAACAACGGCACCTAGTTCCAAGATGCAGAACTTATATTATGGATACTAGACAATTGGTATTTTTTTTTTTTGTAAATACATATTATACCTAGAAAACACCCAAACCGACACAAACCTGTCCTGAATACAAATGTCTTACCGTGCGAGGAATTGAACCCACGACCATCGGAAGTATGGCGGTGAGCTAAACCGCTAGACTACCAAGACCGTCATATAATGTATGCACACTCTTAATATTTAATGGAGAACACAAACATAATACATATATAGATTCTAACCATTTATGTTCCATTCGGAACATAGCTTTAGCTTCACTTTATGGGATAAACTAATCGATAATAAAACAAAAATACAAATATATTAAACATATATTAAAAATACAAATATTCATATATTAATTAACTATATGTATGTATATAAGTTAATTGAAGCTTAAGATAGAGAATAGTCGATTTATCTCTCTTATCTCAATGTGTGGCCTTCATACAATAGCATAGTTTACTAATAAAGATTCTTTAATATACGCTGCATGATAATGACGTCATTAGGGTTGTCAAAACAATAAATAGATTTACCTTGACTTGTCTGACCTGCCCTTGATATATATTTAATTAAAATGACAAACTGACCGAGTTTTTCATTTTAATTAAATATATATAAATATTAATTCATATTTTTGTATATATAATATAATTGAAATGTCAAAAACGTAATGGAAAGACCGAAAAACTTGGAAAAAATTAAATATTTTCTCTAGGTCTTTCGGTCTTGTCCTTCCCTCACATACCTTCATATCCCTTAATATTACTACTATATCTCACGCCTCACTCTCTCTCGCCGTAAATAGATATAGATGGGTAGCAAAATGCTGATATAAAGCAAAATAACGATTAAAGACGATTTTTATATGTATTATTTTGTGTTTCATTATAAATTATTATATAAAAAGTGTCTATTATTATATATGGGGTATTCAGTCATTGTCATATATTGATTTCCTAGTACCGATTTTTATATGTCCATTATGTTATTTTTAAAACAAACGCGGTATATATTATTATTTATATATTAATAATATATATGGTTTTGTTATAATTGTTTCCTATTTATACGAGAATAAGTCTTTGATAATTTGAACTCACGACCTCCTGAGTGTAAGTTTATAAACCAAAACATAACTAAGTATAAAATTATATATGGACACACAATTATTTACTGAGTAATTAAACACAGTGTAACGTTATCGTTCATTATTTGTTCTGCGATTTTATATAGTATATCAAACGAGACAATGCGGTGATAGGACTATGTTACACATGAGGTTATCGTAAGATCGTGTAACGAACTCTTGCCTTCTCTACCAACATATCTTATATATAAAATTCTCGTGTCACAATATTAATTACCATACTCCTCCGAAACGGCATGAACGATTTTTATGAAATTTTATATGCATATTCTTGTTTGAGAATGAGGATCTGAGAATCGGCTACTATATATTTTTCACACCCCGAAGTTATAAGGGTTGTCTTTTTTTATTTTTTGGAACATTTTTTTTATTTTATAATGTGGCATTAAAAAATACATACAACGTTATCGTTCATTATTTGTTCAACGATTCTTATATAAGTATATTAAACGAATACTGTAATGCCATATAGTAATTTTTGTAGCTGTGACGTGGTCATGTGGACATGAGGTTCATGCTCACTAAAATGTCCAGACATGTGGCGGCGTGGTGGGCCGGGTCATATCTTATATATAAAATATGGTCGAGCACAGTGATGGCTTATCCGTCATACTCCTGAACGAAACGGCATGAACGATTTTTATCAAATTTTATATGCTATTCATGATTATATTTGACCCAAAAAATTTGTGCTAGTAGTTTGTATTCACACGTTTCGACTTGTAAATGTAAACTTACAAGGATTATTTAAAAGAGCTTTTTTGCTTTCTTCTTGTGATGACATTTTTTTTATTTTATAATGTGGATAAAAAACAAATTGTTATGACTATTCAAAAGTGCTTAAATTTTTATTTGAATAAATGATTTTCTATTCTTTCTATTCTATTCTAAATTTATATGACAAAACAAAGTTTCCGGGGTCAGCTAGAAATGATATAATATCCCTGAAAATTCACACAACGCCATCTAATCACAAGCTAATTGAACTTCATCTTATGGGTACTAGACAAATAATAAATACTTTAATTTTTTTTGTAATTACATCCACAATATACGTAGAAAACACCCAGACCAATACAAACAATCATCTTGAATACAAATTTTTAAACTAAGGAATCAAATCCAGTAACATTGGATATAAAGTGGTGTATGTCCGCCAGCACAGGCTGGGTCTATTATTGGAAAAGCAAACAAGCTGACGAGCCTGATTGTAAACGGTAACGTCGTCGCCTACATACATGAAAATGACGTCATCACGTTATCATGCGACATCCGTGATATCATGCTCTATCATTTCACTGCCTTTTTCTTTTTTTTTACTTGGAGAAAATTGCTCAAGGAAAGGCAAGCAAGGGTACTGTGAGACTCATACTCACTAAAAACTCCAAGATGTCACACAACATCATATGCCGGAAGCTACTTGGCGGCTGAAATAGCTGAGACTGAGGTAAACATGCAGACTTTTTAGTCTACCTCTGGGAAATATTTTATTATCATCCACAATAAAAATATACTAATTGCGACCTCGGTGGTGTAGCGGTTTAGCCACCTTACTTACGATGGTCGCAGGTTCGAATCCTCATCGGTACAAATATTTTTATACATGAGATGATGAATATTTTTATAATGTACGATTGTTTGTATCGGTCATTGTCTATGTATATTATGTATGTATTTACAAAAATAATTTATAAGTTTGTATGAGTCGTCTAGTACACATAACACAAGCTCTGATGACGCTGTGTAAATTGTGCTGAGATATTATTATTATTCCTTCAATTACACGAATAAAGTTTGAACACTATTGTAAAATAAATTGTTACAGAAAACAGATAAATCTGATGTATCCTCAGCTGACTGGGTGCTGGATGAAAAAGAACTAATCTCCCTGTTCAACCCGCGGACCAAAATGATAATCCTGAACACCCCACACAACCCCCTCGGCAAAGTGTTCACTCAACAAGAATTGGAACTGATCGCAGACTTGTGCAAGAAACACAATGTACTGTGCCTCTCTGATGAAGTGTATGAATGGATGGTGTTCAAACCACATAAACATATTAGAATAGGTAAATTTCTTGATTTAAAAATTAAAATGAAAAAATGTAAAGGACCCGTTTTGTGTAGATTTTTATTCTTTACAACCTTTATTTAAAACATTTTTTCATATTACTTATCATTATCAAGTTATTTTGAAAAAAGGCGTTTTTCAACCCTTTCATAAATTTTTGATCCCATTTCCATTAACTTAAATCATAATTTCTTTTTTAATACGTGAATTCACGAATTTACGGACTTACTTTTTTATATTGCGTCAAAACTGGTCACATTATGTTTAATTTAAAATTTTACTGGTCTATTATATGAATATGTGAATGTGATGGCGATGTAAAGTAAATGTTTTTCTTTCTTTCTTTTTCGAAGTCGGTTTAATATGTATTTAAATCCACATTGTGATGAACCTTACTTGTAAGATAACTAGGTCTCATATCTAAGGTCATATAATATATCATGGGAACTGAATGGCGGTGACCTCTATAGTGATAGTGCGCCCAGTATAATTGCGCAGTCGATTGATAGTTCTGATTCTATTCCCAGAAATTTAATGGTTGTTTTATTTATGTTAAATTAATTTGATTTATTATTATGAAAAATAATTATAGTAACATTTGAGTTTTTGCCAGTTGTTTTCAAATGAAGTAGCTAATCTAACTGGACTTGGAGGAGGGGTGAAGGGGGTATAGTAATGTGGACTAATAATAACATTGCTAGCAATGTACCATGTTAGGTTGATCTCCACGGGGTGCTTGTAAATCATCGTGATAAATTCCAGGTGATTTGCCAAGACGAGCTAACTGTCCTAATCTCATGGCCATCTTATGATCCCGCCAACATAATCCGTTAGCGTAGGCGGGTACACCATTCCATTATCAAACAAAAAAGTAAATACATATCAATCTAAACATAAAAATATGCATTTTAATTGATTACGATGAAATTATACTTCCGTGCGTGCGTTGCGTTGCGTTTAAGGTATTCTCTCTGGTGGTGGTGGTAATGTATTCTAGACATCAGTATAAATAAAAAAAAATATGGTCAGGTCAGTTAACGTGAAATAATTTCCAAGGATGACCAAACACAAACTTAAGGAGGGGAGGGAAGGATATTCTTTCGACTAATGTATTGGTTAACGGCTGTGACGTTAGAACATGGCACGTCCGGTTCCGATTTTCATCCCTTCACCTCTTAAAAATAATGCGTATTAACTATTTTAAGTTACATTTGTATAGCCAGCCTACCCGGCATGTGGGAGCGGACCATCACGGTGGGCTCAGCAGGCAAGACTTTCTCCGTGACGGGGTGGAAAACAGGCTGGGCGTATGCACCTGCCAACTTGATGAGGAACCTGCAAGTGGTACATCAGAACTGTGTGTACACGTGCTGCACTCCCGTACAGGTATATAGCGTAATTATTTATTTATATACGACACTTTGAGCTGCTTATACATGTATTTATGTTTTTAACAGTATCCCTAACATTCACTTTCGGCTAGCTGCTTCAGTTGAGAACTAGCAAGACACATAATTGTAACATTTTTTTCGTTGTAATCAGTTTCAAGTTTAAAAAATAACAATTACATCAACATCTTTTTACCCAATCCACCCCCGGATTTTCACTGAACTTATCAATACAACTCTCTTAACCATTTAAAAAAAATCAACCAGAGGAAATTATTGAAAAACTTAGGCTCTGGCTTGGGGACTCTAGAGACTGAACATCGCTAGAATGTACCATTTCAGGTCGACCTCCACAAGGCCGGCCCTGGAACCATCAATGTCAATTTCTTGTACAATCGCCACGTCGAGCAACTGAACTGATTTGATGCTCATCCTATCAACCTCCATTTTGCACCGTAAGCATAAACCGGTGCATCAGTACATTAAAACAAATGTCTTAGACTACCACCTCGAAGATTAACAGTTGTGAAGATACATATACAATTTTACTCAAATCGCAGGAGGCCGTAGCCCGCGGACTCGAGTATGAACTAGCTCGCTACGACTCACCAGAATGCTATTTCTTCTCACTGGCCCGCGAACTGATCGCAAAAAGGGACTACGTTGTCAAAATACTGAAGGAGACTGGCTTCAAACCGACTGTGCCGGATGGTGGTTACTTCATTGTCGCTGACTGGACCGCTTTAGGTTAGTAAATGAGCCTAACTGCACATTTTTTTTATGTTAAAAGGATCTACACAAGACACTAAAATCAGAGCACAGGTGGGCAGCCCCCAGATTGCTTCCTAGATCGTCTAGTCCTTCGAAATCGGAGCCGATTGTACAGTGCCAGATGATCGTATTTTATCTCCATAACCACTGCTCAAACATCGCCCCTATTTTAGCGTTGTTTGTGGTACCAATTTCAACCTTATGTTTTTATTTACGTTCTACAATGATGAGCAGATTAAGACATTATTCGCTCCCTATTCGAACTAAATTCACATTATAACGCTCTTAATATAATATGTACGTTTCAGAAAAGAAAATAGATCTGAACTCTGAGAACGACAAATACAAAGACTATCGGTTTACGAAGAAGTTCGCCAAAGAGGCAGGTGTGCTGGCCATCCCGCCGTCTGCCTTCTACTCTGAAGAACATAAACATTTAGGCGAGAACTATGCCAGGTTCTGCTTTATCAAGGTAATTTATTTAAAATACATAAATGAATAATAATGTATAACATATAAATGAATAATTAAATTTGAAACTTGATATTAATTTGAAACATTATTCATAAATTTTACAACTACATAATTTTTTTACGTGTATCATATAAAAGCTTCTGGACAATGAATCTAGATATGTAAGAAAACGAGCATATATTTAGTACTAAGAAAAACTAGAAAACCTTAAATTTAAAAAATTACAAAATTCCTGATTTTTTTTATTAAAAAACTTAATTAGAATAATGGATTGTTTTACGCATATACTTTCATGGTGCGATACTGATTTCTTTAGTCTGTACTTTCTATAAATAACATTAAACAATACTTCCAAATTAATTTATCCTTTACATAAACATTTTTGTATAATTAGAATGACGAACAAGTTAACGGCGAGACCTGATAGTAGATGGTAACCGTCACTTATATAAATGAACAGAACTAGGAGCTCATATGATGCCATTTTTTACGATTTTATATATTTTTTTACTTTTTTTTTATAATAATCACCATTATACATTTTATTTACAGAAAGACGAGAATCTCGCATTGACTGAGAAGTTACTAAAGGAATGGGGTAGCAAGAAAAAAGATTGACTATATTAAATGTAAAATGTGATATTATACTTCTATTGGTGCGGTGCAAAATATTAATGCGGTAACTAAACAAACTGAAAAACCACTTCTACATCTATGACAGCGATTTCGTTCAACGATTCTACACTTCTTTCTTAAAAGTGCAAATTAAAAAGAATCACTATAGTCTGTACTCAATACAAACTATAGTATTTTTTTAATCTGTACTGTTAGAGTCGAGAATAGGTCAAATCAAGACAAGTGAAAAACTAATTTATTGCCGCATTGCTAATGCATATTTAAGTTAGAACGAGACAACAATATCTCACAATCTTATTCACATACATGCATATAATCAATCAATAAATATAAATCTTCATAAGAAAAATATTTATATATGCGTATATATGTTAGTTATCACATTAAATTATACAAGACATATATTTTTTAGGTTTTGATATAAAACTATGTAAATATTATATTTAAATAAATAAAACTATTAAAGTTATCATTCTGTATAATTTTCATGTATTATCAGAACTAAAATTTCATTTCATCATTAAATTATTCTTATTCACACCTGATTTTCAAAATAAACAATACATCGATGTTATGAGATGTTACAGGAAATAATAAAAAAATCAAGGTCCAAAGTCCCCTCGGAGCCAGCGCTTGGCATCTCTAGTGTCATTCCCATATGTTTTGCCAAATCTGAAAAAAATATAAAACTTTTTACGTGGGCAGGTCTCTCTCGTCTATTTCGGGCATCCTTAAAAAAAATATACTATAGGCCGTACCTAGTCTTTATAGCTTCACCGAAGGCATATTTACATGAAAGAATATAAGTTAAAAAAATAATACGTACCTGAACATAGCACCTGGAACATGGCCCGCGTAATTTGGCAGCATACCAACGTGTTTGTGGTAGAGTTCAGTAGGATTGATGGATAAGGGTGGATCGGGTCTGGAACAGAAGTGTTATTGTGGTAGAGGTAATAAAGGACAAAATATCTAAAACTATTATTATTACTTTATAGTAAATAAAGCTCCCTTGAAGTCAATTCATTCATTGCTATTTTGCAAATATATTGTTGTGTATATGACATTAACCCCCTAAAGAAATAAGCATATTACATATTTTAGTAATTTCTTTCATCACGTTTTTTAAGATATGTTCTTAAATTGATAAATAAAGGTAATTTTCAAATGTATTGTCTTAAAAAATAACCAACCCAATGTTTTCACCACAGTGAGGAATGTGAATGTTACTATAATAATGTGTATACTAACTGGTACTTGCAAATCTCTTTAAATTAATATTTTAAATGTTTGCAGGTTTCAGTTTTCATGGTTGATATATGTATATGATATGATAAGCAACTACAACACAATTCTCGCCAAAAATCTGTTAAAATATTATCAATCAGAATTCCAGAGTATCCATTAATTAAAAATAAATTAAAACAACATCATTTATGTCTAATATTTATTGACATCAAAGCATTTTGACCATATAGGGTCCCTCAAGATGGTACCCAATCTTTGCGTAGTAGTTTCTAGTGCCAACTCCCGATATGACTGCCATCTTGTCTGATCCATGTTCCTCTCTCGCGATCCTCTCGGCTTCCTCCATTAGCAACATACCAAAGCCTTGGTGTTGGAATTTCGTTGGATCACGAGCATTCACCTAATAAAAATAAATAAAATTTATATTATTGTAGCAACTGTGGTTTGCATTACGATTATGAATGAAAATATCTGTAGTAATCTATTATAAAACTAAATCTAAGATAATCATCATTTGGTTTTTTATAACCACTAGATGAGACTACCGTAATTCTCACAAAACAAACATTTATGTCCACAAGAGTTTGTATTTAGATTTTGTTTTGTATAAATTTTATATTATACTTACAGGTACAACAGATCCGTACACATGTAACTCTCTAACTATACTGCATTGTTTGAAATCTGATTTAGGGCCAGCCTTTAATTCTGGTCTGTAGGTGTCTGAAGCACACTTCCTAAGTCTGAGCAGGCCAACTAATATATCTTGGTCTGGATCCTCATACGCTAAGAATGTCTCCCAGCCGCCATTGGCAACGTAATCGCGTCGTATTAACTCCACCTGAAGTTATAAAATGAAATATAAGGTTTATAATATTATTTAATAAACAAATGAATTAAATTACAAAATTTGCTGGCTGAGTAGTAAATCCTTTTAATCTTAAATACAATGAAGCAATCTATAATTATTAATCATAATTACAGGTTTCTAGCTTTAAAAATGGCAATACTTCCATACAACCTTCCATCACCCCTTATAACCGCTTACAGCCCTTTTTTCGCATTAAAAAGTAGCCTATGTCCTTTCTCAGGGTCTAAACTATATGTGTACCAAATTTCATTTAAATTGGTTCTATAGTTCTGGCGTGAAAGCGCAACAGACAGACAGTTTCTTTCACAATTAATTACAATATGATATTATAGTAAGGAAGTAGGGATTAGTATAGATGTGTACAAAGACTAAAAACAGTTTTAAAATATGTATAATTGTACCTCATATGGCCTAACTTTGTTGTGTATTTCCTGTATACCCACTTCCCTGGTCCTCACGTCTCTACAATCTGTGCCCAAGTCGGCCATACGAGCAAGAGCCAATTCACGCAAGTTGCCGTGCTCCACGCCCGATGATACGAGGGGCATTGGAATGTCTCGTTGGACTCTATAAAATAAAGAAATATTGATTTTATTAAAAGCATAAAAAATAAAATAATGATATAGAATTTTACTTTAAAAACGTAAATGCCTGTGTTGCAACTTTGCACATATTTATATTTAGAAATAACATTATATTTTATTACAATTTTGTATTGTTACTGTTCACTGTCCATTGTCTTTAAAACAAATGGTGACAATAATATAGATATATAAAAAGTACTAAAATTAAAAAACATGTATAAATATATACAAATATAATAATTGTATAAAAATGTGCAGTTTGCAGCACATATCCAATTTATCTCACCTGTAAACCCTAGTCCATGGTGGCACCAAAGCCAGTACTTTTGCAATCAAATCAACTAAAGTTGATGGAGGATAACTTCTATATCTCCCCGTCTTCCATAGTTCATAGAGGCCTGTTCCTCTGATCACTAATGTTGGGTATATCTTGAGGCCGTCAGCCCGAAATGCAGGATTTTCAAAGAATTCTTTAAACTGTTCCACATCTCGCTCAAAATCCACATTTGGTAAATCAGGCATCATGTGTGCAACTATCTAGAAAGAGTAAAAATAGAATTATATTGTATTCTGTTATTAAGATTTGATGTATCTACAAAAAGTATAACATCATAATAGACAGAAGGGACAATGGAAATCAATGTTGAGAAAAAGACTCCAGATTTGACCTGCTGATTGGATCTTTTTTTTAATACTGCCTACTAATCTACTGCATGAAATATAAGTGCAAGACTTTATTGTTAGATATCTATATAGTAACTAATTGTCAGAAATGTAATCACACTTTGCCACTAATTTATATAGTACTAGCTGTGCTCATGGTTTCACCAGCCTGAAATTTATAGCCTACATGTTATTCTGATGTATAAGCTGTTATTGTAAAGTTTCATTAAAAATGTTCAGTAGTTTTTGTGTGAAAGAGTAACAAACATCCATCCATACTCATAAACTTTCCCATTTCTAATAATAAGATGTTAAATATTATACATATTTGAAACTTTGTTCTTACCTTATAACCAGCATCCTTGGCCAAGTTGAAATTCTCACAGACAGCTTTGACTGTGTGTCCTCTATTTGTGTCACGAGCAATGTCCTCGTAAACAGACTGCACACCTATTTCCAGCCTGTGTATAAATATATTTAGCATGGTTAAGTCAAATTATTATACAGTATTATTAGTGAATATTTTTTTAACAAAACATCTCTTCTGCACAATGCATCCATATCAATTGTTGGATTCAACACAGCTTTGACAGTTGCACTATTTAAGTAAACCCTTATTATGAGCAAATAATAGTTTAAAACTGTCATTTAGCACCCACATTCTGTGTTTATTAGCATATACCCTTAGCACAGGCTAAGGGTATATGCTAATAAACACCAACGAATGTTGAGTGACATAATGAAGATGAAATCAGGTCAGTAAATCACTAGTGACAAATATCATGATTGTTTCCAGGGCTAAGTGAGTTCAAGCTGTGTGCTGTGTGTGTGGTACATTGCTAGCAATCCTATCCATCATGTTTTTATTAATATTTAATAGGTGTAAATCTAAATGCATACCATACCTTGTACAACCATAGTTCAACATGTCACTCATATGCCTCTGCAAACAGTAATCAGGTCTAGTTTCTATTGTAATACCGATACATTTAGTTTTTGCCTTTTCAGAGTATTTTACAGCTTCAGCAACACAACTTGATGTGTGTCCAGACAATGCATCATGAAGATTCCTATAAATCATTGAATTAAAAATAAAATTTAAAAAAAACCTTCTAGCAATTCCAATTCAAAAATAGTCTATTTTTTATCACAATATCAAATTATAATGACTTATTTAATTAAGTTTAATTGCAAAACATAATGTAATACAAACAATATGTGTTTAATTTAATATCTAAATATATTTAACTCAAAGGTGACTGATAGTGATCTATCAATGCACAGCCCAAACCACTGGATGGATCGGGTTGAGACTTTGCATGCATAAAGCTACTATGACGTAGGCATCCTCTAAGAAAGTATTTTGATAAATTCCACCCCCAAGGGGATAAATTAACACGATAGTTAGTAAATAAGAATAAACAACAAATAATTACCTAATAAAATAATCTCGATAATCCTCAGGCAGACTCATAAATGTACCTCCCATGACAATAAACTCCACTTTATCAACACTGTGCCCCAACTGTTTCAACTGTTCCACTCTGTGACGTGTCTGTAAGTACGGATTGTACCGCGCCCTGATCGCTCTCATAGATGTGGGCTCGTAGCCAGTGTAACTCTGCGTGGAGTACTCGAAATCAGAGTCCGGCCCACCCGGGCAGTACACACAGATGTTACCCGTGAAGTTTATATGTGGACATCTGTGAGGTTTGCACATCACGGCAACCACAGCTATCCCAGACGCTGTCCTAATCGGTTTCGCCTTCAACTTAGGTAATAGTATACTCTTCGCATCAGCAGGTACCGCTGCAATAATATCCACGAGTCTGGGAGACGTTCCTAGGCCGTATTTGGAGGAAATTCTGGTCTTCATCTTATTGAGGTTAACATCCTTGCCTTGGCGGTGAGCGATCAATAACTCTTGTATGATTTCAGATATCACTATCACCATCCGCTCCTCCTTCGACAGATTCGGCAAAAGTTTCTTTTTCGTCATATTTACACAGTTTTATAATAATATTAATAAATAAAATATTAAATAACGCGTGTCGATTACTACTAATTTGGTGATAGTACGTCGCAAAACAAAGGAATGACAGAATGAATGAACTATGATCGATTGATTGAATGACAGCCAGCAATTATTAATGAATAATTTATATCTTTGACTGTGTTGGTATTTAGATATTAACAAAATATAATTTGAATTTGTTTAATGAAGTATAGTATAGGAACTGTTAAAAATTAAAATAAATTATTGAGTGTCGGTGTAATTAGAATAAATTTTTTGAAGTAAGTTTAATTCAGAAATATATTTTTTAATATTAGCTATTCCGATGGTGCAGAACTTATATTAGTGTGTTTATTAGAGAATACTCAATTAAGTAGGTATATGGGGAATAAAGAAGAAAGCATTATGTAATCTTTAACATTCATTGCTAACGTCGTAGGGGCATTAAGCTGTGAACGGGAGTGAGAACAATAGTGTTTGTCTGGAAGTCGATAAGTAGGAAGACAAACAGTACCTACACTTAAATATATAAAATCATACATCATAAACATTACGTATGTAACGTACTCACTTGACTACATTGACTGGAGCCCATTCAGTACTTTGTCGTCTTCTATAATTAGACGAGAAGTCACAAAGAGCAGAATTTGTTAATTTCTTCGACGATTCGCCAAAGCGCTGGAAACCATACGGCACGTGTCCCGCAAAACCTATATTTTAAATACATTAATTATTATTATTTTTAGAAATATTACTCGAACCAGTAATTACTGGCGGGAAAGCAAGCGATTATTCGAGAAGTCATAGTGATTAATTCATTTTATAAGCATGTCTTCAAAAACACGATACACAATGAATAAAACGATTAAATCTAACAAAAACACTATACACAACGATTAAATCTAAACATAACTCTACGATATATACTATTGTGCGGAAGGGATCGCTATATGGCTACCAATAGATGACCCCATTCGTAGCCACACTAATTCCCATAGTCATATTCATAGTATAGCATAGCATAGCACATAGAGATCCCGTCCAGCGATGTCATGTCAGGTTGGTCTACGCGGTCAGCATCCGTAGCGTATACAATTAGCACTGGCGCGTGGCCCATACCATTATCCTAAACAAAAAACTGCATTAGGTGTAACACCTTTCTAACCTAATAAGGGTGGCAGCCATTAAGCCCAAATATAAAAACAATATAACAGCATAATAAACAAATATATAAATATATTAACTTACGAATGGATTGAGAGGGATTAAATCCCCATATTTGATTTCTAATGAATGACGCGTGTAGTTTCCCGTAAGACATTGATTAAAAAGAGGAAAATGTAAGTATTATATAAATAATCATTCTAAATATAAAATAATAAAAAAATGTCAAATTGACGTATTATTAAAAAAATGGTTCTAATAAAAATACGAAACAAAGGAGTTGAGGTAAAACTTAATTTATTTTGTAACCGTTATTTCCCTATCATCTGTTATTGAAGTAAACAATTCTTTACATCACAGAAACAAATATTATAATAATGTCATGGAATCCCTCACCTTTCTTGATAAATTTGTCAGGATCTCCATTATCCATGAAGTAAGGACTAACTGAATGTGACGCTGGTGATAGCTTAGGTTCATCCATGGGCAGATCTCGTAATATACCAGCACATTCTGGTCTAACCACAACCAGGGGAAGCTTGAATTCTGCTGTTGCTGACTATGTAATAATAATATTTATTAAAGCAAATTTTCAAATTATACCTATTAAACCTGTACAGTTCACATATTATAACTTCGTTTTCTTGAGTTCGAGTCTGGCTCTTGCATATTAAAGACAATACCATTTATATACTCAGAATTTTAGTTTTAATTGGTTGTTCTAAAATTTCCATTGTTTTATATGTCAAACCGTGTACCAAATTTTCTCTGATTCACTAAAATACATTTTTTTCTATATTTATTTATACTGCGGAACGAATTCTATTTTTTTTATAGTCATATATATTTAGACTATCTTTGATATTCCTGAATTTAAATTCAAGGATAGAATTAGAAATAGCTTATGTAGTTCTTAAATAAAAACACCATCTGGCTTTACAAATAATTCCACCAAATCAATGGTAAACTTAGGATTCTATAATTCAAATTTTACATCATGTCTTTCAGTGACACCAAATATTACTCTCTATCGCTCTTCCATAATAACTTCATTATTCGTTCTTCATTCATCTCCTTTTGCTCTCTGCTTTATGATCTTCTTTCGTGCCAAAATATACGAGTAAGTTCTTCACTTACGAATCTATCAACCAAATCCCAGGGTTGGCCTTTTCCTGCTTGCAGATCGACGACCCTCTCCAATTGCTGTCGGGCGGCTCTTTGATTCAGCTGCAACCTTTGAAATTCTGAGAGTGCTTCTGTTGCGGACACTGTGTACCGCTGGCCGAAGTGGGCATTTAGACGAGGAAGGAATCCTATTATGTCAAGCAATCAGATTGTATCACTTTATTTTGTAATTATTATACATCATTTTCGATATCGGCCAATTTAAAACGTTTTGTACATTTTCATTAGGTACTGGTTGCAACTACATTCCATGTCTCTAATAGATAATACATGAATATTTTAATTTGATTTGATATGGATCGCCAAGATTAACCTGCCTAGCTACTGAAGTGTTAAAACATATATTTTTTAAATACCTAGTTATTTAACTGTTATTAATTGTAGATTGTTGTGATAATGAGCCTGTAGCCTACCCCTACCGGCTTGTTTTAATTTCGAAGGGATTTAGACTAGTCGATAGATCGTTCATGGTCCAGTATTACAATACATATATAGACTATTATTGCTCTGTTAAGATTTTCTACTTCAAAAGGGAGAAGTTTTAAAATTAAATATGATAAAATACACGCAGTTGATCTACTCTGAATATGTCCCTAAAGTTATATATCATAAATAAAGTCTAGATATTTCAGAAGAGCTTCCACCCGCGTACACTTAATTGTGGAATGAACTACCTGCCTAGGTTTTCTCGCGAGACTCTAGTCTGTACTTCCTGACAAGCTGTATCTTGGGGTTTTCAAGAAGGATATATTAAGCTTTCTTAAGGATCGGCAACGCGCATGTTGCCACCGTCGTAGTATAAAAAAAATATATATTGATAATTATAAGCGACATAAGTCAATAAAAATACACTTCCTGGATAATAATTTTAATTTTAATGCACGCAAGCACACATTCACTGTCACTGCAAGTTACAGTCACTTTTTGTAATACATAAATTTTAAGTTTAATGTCAAGTGCCTATCTCTCTTAAGACCTTGGTATTTAATTCGATACCTATACCTAGATGTAGAAATTCAGTAAAACTGTAACGTAGGAATATCATTGTAAATTCAAAGGATCGGATCATCACTGAATATAATTAGCCCAATCTATAGAAATAAGTAAAATTGAAGTTTGTAATGTCAAATTAACAGCTTTTCACTAAATGCATATTAAAGTATATATAGTATTTTCACTGGCACTTCAAAAAATATTTTAAGGCTTGCTAATTTCTGAAAAAACTAGCTCGATTTTGACGAGACTTTCGCTCGCTGATAGATAATGTAATAAGGCATAACTTAGGCTACTAGTAGTTTAGAAATTTTAGTTATTTTAAATCATCGCGGACGAAGACAAAGGTAACAATTAGTTTGTAATAAATGAATATAAGTATTTCTTATTAGTCTTTTATAAGATATGCATAAACAAAATCGTCTTTAATAGTTTGAAGATCATTCAGAATTGGCAACAATATTACGTAACATACAGAAAATGCAGTAAAATTCAGAATTCAAATGTTTTTGAGCAAGCTGAAGTTAAACTACCACTATCATCGCTAAAACATCTAGACCTAAAGTTCTCAGGAAACTGTAGCATTCTCGAAACCGGCTTTGAAATGAAGTGACTCATACATGAGGTTGGTACGCTCCGGCTCTGAATCATTGGGATCATATTGCCTTTGTGTCTAGATTCAAATGTTGACAGATTTCACTTGACCTACGGTCGCAATATGAGGCCGTAGGTTGGGTTTCCCGTCACCTTTTGTTTGACTTTGTGAGAAAGTTGTTCATCCAAACATGTTGATGTTTTAAATATATTAATAGTGCAATATAAAGAGAGCATATGACTGAGTTGAGTGTTAAGATGTGTATTTATTTAGATAATTAGAATGGCAAACTAACTAACTACCTGTCTACCTTCGCCTAATTCTCTAACTCTAACTTCACCTAATACGTAAAGCAAAAACTTTGACCCCTTTTTACGAAAATTGTTCGGATGGAGGTGTGTGTAGTTTCTCACGCTTATAGTTTATATAGAGCATGAGTCACTTTCGTAGCACCATTCATCAGTTACCACTCAGAAGCATTAAGATGTCATGCCTTCATATCCTGCTTTTGTTTATGGATGATAATGGAGTTGTGCAGTATCAGTGGAAGATGATAAGATGAGCATGAGGTCAGGTCAGTTAGCCCATCGTGACAAGTTCATCAAGAATTTATCACGATGGTTTCCAGGGGGAACCGCGTGGAGGGCAACCTAACATGTACCATGTTAGGTTGGCCTCCACGCGCATCACTAGCAATAAGATAATAAATACACAATCCTCTTTCTCCCCTATCTTGCAATTTTACTGTCTTATCTCACCGCTAACTGTTTATTTACTCATCATTCATTGTTATTTGATCCAAATCGGTACTAAATGATACAGTTTAAAATTTTATATTTTCAAATCGAGTAATAAGGATTGGCTAAAAAATTTAGCGGATCATCTAGTTTATACCTACCTAAATTCCTTCAATTAAGATAAATTTAATTTTCAGGCGATTATTTTCACGGTCGGGCACATTGTCTTCACAGAACGCTAATATGATTGTCTGCGTTTAGCACCAACTGTGTTTGAATGAAGCAATTTTAGTCAGATTTTATCGGCAACACATTCAAACTGACGCGCTCGTTGATTGTCTCGCGGTTTCTCAATGCACATAACAAACAAACAATGTTGATGCATTATGTAAGTAAATACATATTCACACGTGCTGTGATGGAAACTGACCCCTTTATTCAAGTAATACATAAGTATATAAATGCGCAGAAATATATATAAATATTAACACAAGACTAGGCTCAAGTTAAGCTAGCTAAAGCATGTGTTATGGGTACTAGATAACTGGTACTAATACATAGGTATTTTTTTTATATAAATACATACATATTATACATAGAAACCGTTACAAACAATCATACTCATGAATACAAATATTAATGCCGTGCGAGGAATCGAAGCCGCGATCATCGGTATTAAGACCTCATCAACTTGTAATGTCACTACCTAATCCTAATACCTAATACCTAATCCTAGGACACAGTCCTATAACCAAAACATAGTTCTTACAAAGCAAGCTGATGGTGTTATATTATGTAGGTGATTTAAATATGCTGCCGCCACTCTTTTGAAATTAAAGGGGTATAAAAGCCGGCACACAAAGCTAGTAATTAAAAAACAGATAATTTCTGAATACTACGCACCCTCATATCCCGGTAACATAGGATGCTTGTAGACCGGGTCACCATTGCGGAACCTCGCATTTACTACATCGATATCGGTTTGTGGAGGTCGAAAGATCTGAAAGGATGATACCGTTTTAAAGCCATTAAAAAACAGACTTAAAACACATTATTAACGATAAGTCAAAAACTACTGGTCTGTCGTTTATCTATATGGAACGGCATTAGAAGCACCAACTTTCAAAGAAGACCTATTAAAATTCATGTAGAAAAACATCTGAGGTAAAACATAAAAATATGACTATACTGTAAGAATAAAAATACTACAAGATGAATAACCTGGAAATCATCCGCTGTTCGATCTGACAGCACCAATCGCTCTGAATGCTGGACGCTGGGATCCAGAAGGATCTTGTGAGTTGTAGATCCATATGTGTCGCCAATACGGTACTTGTATTCAGGGCAATGGCCTGTGTAACTGTTGGTAAACGCGTTAATGTAATGAAAAATATTTATGACAAAATAAGTAGAAGAAGTAGCTCTATTACTCCTTTGTTCTGTGTGTGAGACAGAGGACATCTACCTGACTTACTTCTATTATTAAATAGCTTGCTATATAAGCTGTGATCACATTTGATTTGAATGGTAGTGTATTACAGGGTAAAACATAATATCTGCAATTTTCTCAACGTTATTATTATTAAAAAAAAATACTTTTATGACTTTATTTTTTGATAGATGTCTAGTGTAATATGAGCTAGAAATTGTTATCTTACCAAATAACGAAAACATTAAAAATTACATCCTAATTCTCTATGAAATGGTAGCTGATGATATGCACAAAACGATCTGCCAATATATTTTAGGAACTATTTTAGTATTATTTCTGTGCATTCTTCTGTGCATGAATCGGCAACGTGCAACTCATGTCTCTGGTGTTTCAGGCGTCCATAGACTACGGTACGTTTACCATTAGATGTAATAATGAAAAAAACTATTTATATTAATTGTGTTATTGTGGCGCTGGGCTAGTCATATATGTCGAAGCAAAGACGACAGATGCACATACAGATCCCTAATATGGCGAGCTAGGATGGGAAGCAGAAGTGTAGGCAGACCAACTGTAAGATGGTCTGATTACATCAGGAAGACGATGGGCCGACCTAGATAAGATGCGCCACAGATAGAATAAAATGGAAAATTATACAAAACGTCAAGCAGTGGCCTAATATATGCTGAAAGAGAGAGAGAGAAGATTGTTCTTGTGGTACTTATGAATGGTTGGGTAGGTAATCAAATTAATAAGTACTAACCCGGGTATGTAGTGGGGCTGTGCAATGCTGACTAAATCTAATGCCATTCCGTACAAAGTTCACTTTGTATGTTTATTGAAAAATGTTAACTCATAATTTTCTACGAAATACCTATTAGAAACTTGAAAGGGACTTTGTACTCGAATTTAGCGTTCTCGACACATTTCTTGATATTAATAATTTGTGTTTTTGTTATGTCAATGAATACACTTCATTGATTTTTTTTTAATATATTTTTTTATTTATAAACCTAAACCAGCCTCAGAGCATATTTTTATCTCAAATATATAAAACATGATAAAAAATATTTTTTGTTAAAAGTGACTATTTTTATTTGTTAAATCTTTAATTACAAAGAGGTCTGTTTTGGTTAATCTAATCTAATTGATCCATTAAGAACATAATGGCTATTTTCTTAATAAATCAATGCATTCCCTGAAAGAAGAAGTTATAAACTTGAAATTTAGAATATTGCTTCTTTTGGATACATCCAGTAAGAAAGTCTTTATATTCATAAGAAACAGAAGATAATAGGTTCTCGTACGCAAACCCGTGGTAAACAGCAATTTTTCTTATGAAGTTGTAGTAGTAGCTAGAGAAAATAATAATTTTACAACAATATACATACCTAAAGATTGAGTTATCATTACATTAGTTCGGTCTTTATATAACTAACACGGAAAACAGACTAACTGCTCAATTGATGGTAAGAGGTAACAGTGGCATCTACATAAGCAGCAACACGGATATCGTGTTATCATGTGACGCCCGTGAAACGACCTATTTTGGAGAACTAAGATAATTGCATATTGTGTAATTTATTATCACCTTTAGCTACTTATATGCCCAAAAGACTCTTAAAACAATCACAATCTCAGAAAGCTCTTAAAACAAGTTGCTGAGCAACGGAAATGGGTGAAAGTGAGAACTTTTAAAAAGTGTCCACCTCAGGGTTTGTAAGTTGTCATCCTATTACTGTACGACAACAGGACTTCTTCACCCTCCTAAGAAGGTACAGGTTAGGCCTCGTAGGGGGACCATTCGCGATGACATCTTCGAAGGGGACCTCTGGTTGCTACATAAATCGTCACCAGTGCAATTATCATACGTTAGAAAAATTTATGTTATGAACCATAAATAAAATATTTTTACACAATTTAGTATGTAGGCCTACTACATGTATTTTTCATGTTCCGTCTTGTTCGTGTTAGTACAAGGAGGTCTAAAAATATATTTTAGATTTTTGGTCTGTTTGTCGGTGCGCTTTTGAATTTGAATAGGTGCCCTTTAAAAATAGTCCGTGGTCAGAATCTCGCAGGCTTAGCCGTTATTAAACAAGTCCATATAGTCCAATAAATAGGATCTAAACTCGGTTTATCTATCAGTTTATCAGATTCTGCTGTCAAAATAATCACTGAATGAATGAATACTGTGAAGTATGAATTGCAATCGGTGCAATCGTTCTCAAGACTCCTTTCATTCGTTTCATTTGTTTGTCCGCCATATTGGTTTCAACCGTCTCTCCGGTCGGTCGTGTATCGCGTAGCTTCGCGTTAAGTGACAGTCAACGATCAAATAATTGTAACTTTGAAAAACTTGTGAATTCAATGTGAATATCTATTGTATACCCCACGAAACAAACTGTGAAGTGTTCATTTAATAATAATATTATTAACTATAAAAATACGAAAGTAAATGGTGAGTTCTCTGACTTGAAATGCATGCATTCCACGGAGAGTGTTGAACTTTTATTTTTTTTCGTACTGTGTAGCTTTTGATTCATATCAAGTATATTAATGTATTTAAACAATTCAACATAGATTACAAACTTATATAAATATTAGTGATGTGTTCTTTAAGAAACATTGAAAATGTGTTGTTCAAAGTTAGCAGAATAATTAACAAGGATTGCCGAAACATTCAAGGTAAGATTTTAGTAATTTTCAAAAACCCATTTAACTTATTTTAAAATTTATATTATCCTAATAACGTACAATAATAAAAGTATAGCATTGTATTAAATTTAGCTAAGCAATTAATGAAGGTTACGAAACCAACTACGAAAGAAAGTTATTTCTTAGCGCTCAAAAGAATAAAAAAGCAGTTTCATAAATAGTACCTATGATTTAATAATTGACAAAATCATGCCTTTATTTAAAAATAAATTACAAAAGGTGAAAAATACTGAATCTAAAATACACAAAAATGAATTACATATTTCAACGCACTCTGAATAGTATGTATTATTTTTATCAAATATTAATCTAGATACAGTTTAAAATTACATGGGTTTTATTATTAAATGTGTATTTTCTAGATTATAATATTTGTAGGTATCAAAAGACTGCATCTTGTAAAAAACAACATGCACACTTTAAAAATTGTTAAATAGGTACACGCAGGTAGGATTATCCCAGGTAACTAGGCTAGTTACCTGGTGAACAATTGACAACTAAACAATCTTTACGAGCTCATCAACAGATCATAATTGTAGGTAGGGTAGGTAGTTAGTGTTATTGCTATGTTAGTGTTAGGTTAGATGTCTATCCTACTTTTAACAAAGTAGGTAGGTAAATTGATAGTGGAATATATCCAGATAACATATTAAACTTTATTTGTGTCATGAACCTAACTAGAAAGGAACCTACCTAGTATCAATGATTTTTTTTCGGACTATAATGCTGCTAGGTAGCCTTTACAGCTTCACGGACGATAGGCGGCGAGTGCAGATGGCACTCCAAACTCGCGGAAGGTCTTATGGAGCGGTTGAAGGCCTATTCCCGCCTGACGGATACGACTTTAGTCTGAACGCATCGTTAAGGGTTCGAACCTCGGCTCAGGCCGTCGTAATTTCAATCCCCGTTTGAATTGCACGCGGTAGGACTATATGTTTTACAAGGCTATATTTTGTGATGTCTAACCTCAAATAAAAATCATTTAAAATACACCGTCTTACAACAATACAAAATTAGAAATGTTTAAAAGACACTATATTAAGACCTAGAGAGTTGGATTCCATACGCACTGGTTGCAGTATGAAACTTCTGCAATAGGCTAAAATTGTGCCGCTAAATTGATTTTGATTGATTGATGAATTTGCTAAAAATGATGTGAGATCCAATTGAAAAGTGAAATGGCGCTTAAATACAAATGTTATATAAATATAATACATAAGTGTAAATTATTCTAGCCTATACACGACGTACGACTTCTGCGTATTCTTTGATTGTTCCGTTTCTATTGGTCGTGTCGTGGTGTTATATAGCCTTCCTCAATAAATGGGCTACCCAACACTAACACAATTTTTCAATTATAACCAATAGTTTCAGAGATTAACCCGTTCAACCAAACAAGCTCTTCAGGTTTATAATATTAACGTTATGTTAGACGATTCTATAGAAGAGGCAAGTGAATTGAATTGGATTTATTTTAATTTGATTGAAAACATTTGTCTGCCTTAGATCAATTCTAGAAAATAAAAAAAGTTCATGAAATTTCAGGAAATCTCACGCGTACAACCAAATGCAGGATTAATCTAATCTGTGTAGATATGCCGCACTTATTTATCAACAATCCTATCGCGACTTAGTCCGATAACGTAAATAATACGAACAATGATCCCTACGATGCAAAATAAATTGCACTTTATTAAAAATTCCACTATTTACAATCTATACGTTTATAAATTGTATACTAAGAACGATAAGACAATTATCATACAATGTTATAGGTAGGTTCTAGATATCATTTATTATGATTACAAAATACAAGTTAATACCTTAACATGAGAATAAGGTGAAACTATTAGATTATGTATTTAATTATTATAACATATTGAAATACAATCCTGGTGTCGTCGTCAAAAGAATCGTGTATTAATAGTAATACATGTAGATATAAAATGTGTACATACGTACTTATTACTATGCTCATCCGTTCGAAGTACATTAAAATAGCCCTATTCGAGTAGCAACTCGTTACCAAACAATGAAAGAAGACACCCATTCAAAGTCAAGTAAATGTCTCAAAGGAATCCTGTTTGGTGGCCCGGGAGAAACAAAACCTTGGTCGACTCGCCAGCATCCGTCCAAACATGGGAATCTTTAACATATAGACTGTTTTGCACCTTATGTCTATAACTTAAAGGTACAACAACTCTAAGATCTTCGTGCTCTAGAATTGCATTGTAGTTATAAATACCATTCTAGAAACTTTCCAATACTTTTATTAGTAGGATATTTCTTATTCGCGTTCACAGCTAGCTATTTATCTCAGAATTGATTAGACCACTTTCTTCTGACGTATAGCTGGCAGAAATACCTACGTGAATCAGTTGAAGACAAAACTTAATTAGGTTTAGTTACTTGGTATTAGCTTGCTGGTTAATTCAGTCCAAGATAAGACAAGAAGTAAATTATGCAAAGCACGCTACGGTCCGTTAATTTAAAGTTAACTGTCTGCCTACTGTATACCACAACGATATAATAACCAAGGGCCAAATTACTATTTCCAGTTCCAAAGCATAGGGTACTTACGGCGACGGTACTAATTTGTGTGACTTTTTCAAATTAGTCGGTCCTCGATGCGATGGGACGTTGAGGACCGGTTCTATTGATGGTTTATAAGAAAAAAGAAGACTCGTGGCTGTCGATATTCGAGGTCGCAACCCAATTGGGGACCAGTCGCAGGTACACTTTGTAGTACACTTTCTCCTGTGCGTGACGCACCCAGGCGCAGACATTTCACTGTAGAATCTCTGCAGGTGCTCTCCAAGACCAATGATAAACATGCAACACTTTATAATGTGCGATTTTAAAACGAACATGTTATAATGATTTGCAAAAGTTACACTTTCTCTGTGAAAGAGGCCACAACTGTTCGGTGGCAATACGGAATATTGTGAAGTTGTAAGTGCATCTAAGTAATTTCATAGAGAAACGAAAACCCGTGCAGTAAGTAGGTTTAAAGAACAACACTTTAATAAAAGAAACATCGACTGTTTTTTTAAAGACCGCGAAATATCATTGACCTTTAAAACTGTATGATCCAAGCGTTTCGAATATCCCATGCTTCTTGGCTGCAGAAAAAGTCGATTATCATAGTGAAATAAGCCACTCGCTGAGGCACATTTAGATAATCATCCGCGATTGTTAGAAGCGTTAATAGGTACTATTTCAAATCTAACAAAAAGTGGTCGGACAAGCTAAAAGCGATCGAATAAGAGCCTCGCTATTTTGTTACGTTAGTGTTTACTATAGAAAATATTAAAGAAAAAATTAAAACAAACATTGTAAACACACGATGAAATGATTCGTTACGCTATATCGTATTACAAATCATCGATAATGACAATGCTTGACATCATCGTCTTAATACTTAATTTTAAAAGAATGGATAGAATTTGCCGAAACATATTATGCTTGATGAGTTATCAATCATTGAAACCAAACTATGTACAGACCGAATTCCTTGGTCGTTTTGTTTCTGAACCAGACAGCCGACAACGCCAATTATTATGTAGATTTTCTTTAAAATGTTGTCACTCTATTGTTTGATATGTTTTGTTTTCAACATAGTGAGTTCAATAACATTATCATTGTGCAATATAAAGGTCATTTGCAAGATTATTTATTGTACCACTTATGTGAAGCCTTAAATTAAGACATTTCTTACCTTAAAGCTTTGGAAAATATAAGCATTTTCTGAGATAAATATGATCTCCATTCTTCTTTTTTTTTTTTATAAAAATATTCTGGACTGGATTCACTCAACGTCATCTAGTCACAAGCTAAGCAGAGCTTTTGTTTTAGGCACTAGGCAACTGATATAAATATTTGAATACATTTTCTTTGTAAGTATATATATTCATAATATACATCAGAAACACCCAGACTAAACAATGATACTCAAATATACGAATGTTTGTACTGTGCGAGGAATCAAACCCGCAAACATCGCAAAGTAAGGCGATGTGCTAAAGCGCTAGACCACCGAGGCCGTTGATATCTATATTTTATAACATTTATTCAATTCAATTCTGAGTACAAAACAAGCCGGAAACACAAGATAATTATTGCCATTTCCAAGTAAGATAACATTGACAATTGTATATTTATCTGTTTTCCTTTTATTTTTCGGAACCTTTCTACCAAGTGTTATATTTCCCATCAAATTACTTCGTTAAGAATTCGTTTACAAAGACATAACAGCGAAATAATGCCCTTTCATTAAACGCGTCCGGTTTTTATGCAAGCCACTGTAAATAACTGAACAAAATGTGTTCTATAACTCTGGTTACAAAGGTGAAATTACAATGCAATATCGAGCTAGACTATAACTAGAAAGACTCGAGCATTGCAATTGAAATGTGGAGCAATCACACGGTTTTGGATTTCTACTATTATATTTCATTCACTACTGCCTTACTACTGTTCTCTCCTTTTCTATTAACAGATATCAATATTTAATAACTGTCGTACTTTGTAATGTTAACGTATGTCTGTATTTGTATGTAAATGTATACCTTAGAACGCGGGTAATGCATTTTTATAAATTTATCTTTTAAAAGCATCGTCTAATTCATTGAGGAATAATAGATATATATTGTGTTACACTTTTATTGCATTATTTGATGTTGTGACAATGTTATCTGTCATAAAAAGTTTTCATCTACGCCAAACAGCAGTTATCGTAAGCAATGTCTTACATATATTTTATATACACAATTATCTATTATCATTTTGAAGTTTTATTATGTTGTCTTGCCAGGTCTTCTAAGACAATTTTCCGAATGAGCCAAAAAATATTAGTAGATTAAAAAAATTAATATGACTATTCAAAAGTTTTTAATTATAAGTTTATTTGAATAAAGAATTTTCTATTCTATTATACTACACTATAATAAATAAATATCTTTCTCGAAAAC